TCCCGCATGGTAACCATCGAAACCACCGCTGCTGACGCGGTAAATTTATGCTGAGGGTGATGCTGAGGAGGAGTCATCGCTGAGTTTTGCTCTGCAGACAAGCTAGACATCGTTGCAGCGTTGAAGCAACTTGCGCTGTCCAGTGCAGTTTTGATACCATGGAGACAACAGTGCTGCGTTCAACTGCATTAGGGCGCAAATGTTGATGGACATGAGGCACTGCAGTCAGAAAGAGGTCTGCAAGAGCTCTGCTGAGCATGTGCTTGTGTTTCGTTAAGAAGAGCACGGGAGAGGATTGGGTGGTGGTGGCGGGGAGGTTTTTGTAGGTCAGAGGTCAATGGAATGCTTGACCCACAAAAAGTGGAGGCTGGGGGGCTGGAGAGGTGTGGGGGGGGTGGGTCCAACCAGGGCAGAATCTGTGATGCTCCTGTGATGCTCTGTGGCAGGTGACAGGGAAGGGATACAGATGCAAACTTGAGACCTTGAGGCTCAGCCGTCGTGAAGGGGGTGGGGGCGGAGGCGTTGTGAAGGGGGGTGGGTGGTGACGTTTTTTGATAGGGCTGTTTGGTTGACCAGATTTTTTGTAGTTGCTGTGTGCAGTTGTGTCTTGCGCCTTGGCATAGGTTGGCAGGCCCAAGGCTGAGATCATGTTGGAACGAACTGTGCGTGGGGAAAGTACAAGCAGACCACAAGCGACAAGCCTTGCGAACAATGTGGAACCCTAGCCACCTCAGCCTTTACGTGCTTATCTGTAGTCAAGTCCCATGCATCTTGAACCCAGTGGTGAGGTCGTGTGTGTGTGGTTAGATATTGTCACTGTCAGCGAGTAGCGTAGTGACACCGAGCCGGGCCCAGCCACTGTTGTTTTCCAGCAGTGTTTCATCATGTCAGATTTCGATTTCGAAGATCCTCCAGCTTCAGGGGGTGAAGAGAGTGAGCACGAAGGTTCTTCTGCGGACGAGGATGGGGCTGAGACGCAGCCCTCGAAGAAGCAGCGGCTCTCGCTTGGGAGCAGTCGTTCCATCCAAAGCAAGGCCAAGGCCCAGCCCAAGGCCAAAGGCAAGGCCAAGGCTGTTGTTGACAAAGCGTGCTACATCTCTGGGTGTCCAGAGAAGAAAAGTGGCAAGCACAGGAGCTGTGGTGGTCACAAGAAGACGCTTGATGCCATATTGTATCAAGCAGAGAAGTCTGGGAAGAAAAGCGAGGTTGAGAAGATACTGTCAGATCCTGTCATGGCTTCAAAGGCCGTGCGTGATTTCGAGGCGGAGAACCCGCCCGGAAAGTTCCGCAAAAAGCTGATAGACTTCACGCAGTGGCTGAAGACCTACAGCACTGAGACATCGCAAACCAATCGTGAACTGTGTGAGCTTTACACTTTCCAGGACTTCTCTGATGAGAAGACCGCTGCTGGCTGGGATCCGAAAGCCATTCTCAGCAAGTGGCAGGAGTATGACAATGATCCAAACATTGAAAGGGAAGATGATGATGGCTTGTGGCTGCCAAAGCGAAAGCAGAAGATGCGTGACCAGACCAAGCGGATAACGCAGTCAGTGGTGGAGGGATCCAAGTCCATGAAGGGATTGAAGGCTGCAGATGTTGAGGTCCTGAAAAACTTCGCCTTGACATCAACAGCCTCACACACGAATGCCTTTTTGCGTTCCGGTGACACTGCTCAAAAGGCTGCAGCACCTTCAATGGAAGTTGTGGACTTGGAAGCAGCGGTTGAAGATCCCAAGAAGAAGAAGGGCAAGCGAGTGGACTTGGCGCAAGCCTTGCCCGCAGTATCTGAGAAAGAGTTGGCGCAGCTTCAACGCCTGAAGGAACAGATGAATTCTGCCACTTGCGCAGCAGCAGAAGCCATCGCACAGGTTGCAGAGCCTGGCGCAACATTGAGTCAAGCCGGCCAGGCTTTCCTCGACGCATGCGAGATGCGCAAACGCTGTGCAGATGTTTGGCTATTGGAGGATGATGCTGAGAAGCTGAAGCATTGGCAGGATGCCCACAAAGACAGTGACTTGGTAGCATGCGTGACAGTGAGTTTGCGTTTCGCGTGAGTGCTTGATTAAGCTGTGTGAGCATTTTGGGCGCCGCATTTGAGCAATGAGGCTTGCAGCCGTCAGACTCAAACGCAGTTGCCCAGCCAGTCGAGGGCGGTGGTGGAACTGGCAGTGCTGCTTCGCCTGCAATAGTGCAGGCCAAGGCAGAGCCTGATGCGGCCGCAGGCTCTGAGGCTCCTGTCGCTCCCGTGGGTGCGCAAATCAGCGCTATCCTCAAGAAGGTTGCCAGGGCAAAGGGTCCGGCTTACAACCCTGTGCAGGAAGTGTCTGACCTTCAGTCGTTTGTCGAGTTGGAGAAGAGATCCCAGGCAGTCCTTGACCTCGAGTGTGCAGAAGACTTGGAGAAGCATAAAGCCGGCACGAAGAAGTTGTTTGCCACCGTCAACCAGCTGAAAGACAGCGTCAGCAAAGCTGCTGCCAAGTTGAGGAGTCATCTCAGCAATATCAAGAGGGAGTCAGAGCGTGCCAAAAAGAAGAAGTCGACTCAGGAAGAGAAGCAGGCTGTTGCCCAGGCCAAAGCAGCTGCGAAGAAAGCTGCAGAGACCGTGAAGCAGGAAGAAAGGGAGGTCCCACCATTGTTCAACATCGACATGAAGAAGAGCAATGTTATCACACCGTCGTTCACTGAGGAACAAATCACGCAGGCAGACTTCGCGTTCGATGCTTCCAAGCCGGCGCTCTTGAAGTGGAGTGCAGTGGAGAAGGAGTGGATGGCCAACTCCAAGGTGCAGATGACCTTGAGTGCCTACGGTGGGCAGTACAAAAGCCAGACTACTACAAAGGACTCAGGCAAAGGTCAGATGGCGTTGCAGAGCAAAGCAGGCAAAGAGGAAACCGATGCATTGCTTAAAAGATTGTACACCTTGCTGAAGCTTGACGAGAAGGTTGCAGCTCTCGGCGGGGCAGATGCGCGGATCCTGAAGGAGACCTGGTTGTATGGGTATGTGCCGTCCAGTACCTTTGTGGCTCCAACACCCCAGGGTTTGGCAATGGTGAAATCGCTGGCAGCTGGTGAGACTCAAATGTTTCTCATCAAGATTGCTGATTTGGCGGTTGCTTTCAAAGCCCAAAACGTCAAGGCGAACTTCGAAAGTGCAGATACCATCCTCGCAATGACGTGTGAGGAGCTCAACGCGTTGATCGGAAAGGGTTGCCCGGTGTACTTCGTCAAGATGCAGAAGTATGATACAGTGTATGTGCCAACGGGCTTCTTGGTCATTGAGCGATCAAGCAGTGCTGTTTTGATTTACGGCTTGAGGAAGACATTGTGTTTGAAGGGTGATGCAGCCTCTTACGAAGCCGTGATCCAGTTCGTGAAGGATTCAGGCAAAGAATCAGCCAGGTATGAGCAGTGCCTGGAGAGCATCAAGAATGCGGACTCTCAGTAAATCCACTGAAGTGAGCAGCTTTTGGCTGCAGGGGTGGGGGCGGGGGGGGGGTGCAGCCACACGCGCGTGGCCTGCGGACCACTCAGCTTCGAGTGATTCGAATCTCCTTCGAGAGCAAAACCTGTCCGTTTTTGCTTTGCGTTTTGAGCTTTAATGCGACAAGCAGTGGCATGCATCAGTCATGGGTCGTGATGACTCTTGTGAATGCTTTTGGGATGAGATACGCAACCTCATCGCGTTCAAATTTTCATACCGAGTTGTTCGCATTTGTTTTCGGTCCATTTTGTAGGGTAAAACCCACTTGTGCATGAATGTGGTTGATGAGATGCTTAGCTGTCAGATAGCTGAGCATGTGTTTTGCTGAATAAAAGGGTTTAGGATGCAACCTCATCGCGTTCAAATTTTCATGCCGAGTTGTTCGCGTTTGTTTTCGGTCCATTTTGTAGGGTAACACCCACTTGTGCATGAACGTGGTTGATGAGATGCTTGGCTGTCAGATAGCTGAGCATGTGTTTTGCTGAATAGAAGGGCTTAGGATGCAACCTCATCGCATTCAAATTTTAGACCGAGTTGTTCGCGCTTGTTTTCGGTCCATTTTGTAGGGTAAAACCCACTTGTGCATGAACGTGGTTGATGAGATGCTTGGCTGTCAGATAGCTGAGCATGCGTTTTGTTAAATATAAATGGTTTAGGATGCAACCTCATCGCGTTCAAATTTTGATACCGGGTTGTTCGCGTTTGTTTTCGGTCCTTTTGCAGGGTAACACCCGCTTGTGCATGAACGTGGTTGATGAGATGCTTAGCTGTCAGATAGCTGAGCATGTGTTTTGCTGAATAAAAGGGTTTAGGATGCAACCTCATCGCGTTCAAATTTTCATGCCGAGTTGTTCGCGTTTGTTTTCGGTCCATTTTGTAGGGTAAAACCCACTTGTGCATGAACGTGGTTGATGAGATGCTTAGCTTGTCAGATAGCTGAGCATGTGTTTTGCTGAATAGAAGGGTTTAGGATGCAACCTCATCGCGTTCAAATTTTCATACCGGGTTGTTCGCGTTTGTTTTCGCTCCATTTTGCAGGGTAAAACCCACTTGTGCATGAATGTGGTTGATGAGATGCTTAGCATGTGTTTTGCTGAATGAAAAGGGTTTAGGATGCAACCTCATCGCGTTCAAATTTTAATACCGAGTTTTTCGCACTTTGCTACATCTGTCTTCGCTACTTTGAGACTGCTTTCGTTTCTCTCCAAGTAAAACTTCATATCCAGGACACAGGAGCTTCAGGTGCTTTGGGAGTTTTTTTAACAGAACTAAGTGGTTTTGTTTTCTCCACTATTGTGGATGCCCAGAAGAAGCTCTCACGCAATTTGCCACCTGCAACCTGAGCAATTGCATGACGGCAGGCGCTTGGGATGTTCCCCCTGATACTAGCACTCCTTCATGGGGATTACAATGGGAGGGGGGGGGGATACTTTAATCCCTATTAAGGACTCCCTAAACCCTAAACCCTATACCCTAAACTCTAAACCCTTGTTTGTCTAAAGGGGAAAATCCCAAGCAGGTGCTGACGAGCATTTGGCTGCCCTGGAAATGGCAGCCCAATGTGGCAACCTCGATGCCTTGGAGTTCCTCACCTCTCAGGAGGGGGCCACGACTCGAGGGGCACTTAGGGTTTCGGGTCGAATGGCATGGTTTTCGTCCCTGGCAGGCAGTGCAGCAGTCCTAGCCGTACAAAAGGGTTTTGGGTTTAGGGTTTAGGGCGCAATTCAATCCCGATGCTCAGCCCCACCAAGACGTTCATAGACAAAGCCCCTGAACCACTTTAACCCTGAGCTGCTCCATCAAGGCACCACAAGCGTAAATTAGGGCTTGCAGATTTACGCAGCCGGTGAACATTTTCTTGCTTCTGTGCCATTCTCACAGCAAACTCCATAAATTGATTTAGTAGCCCAAGAGACCCTGAAACCCGAGCCCCACGACTGAAACCTTAAAACCTGAAAACCCTAAACCCTAAACCCTAAACCCTTACAACCTAAACCCTAAACCCTAAACCCTAAACCCACCTGAAGCCCCTCTAACCCCAAACAGCGGCGAAGCAGGAGATTGGGCTCGGTCCACAAGAGGCACCCAGCATTGCCATCGCCGCCGCCAAAGCAGGGCAGGTGCCGGTCCTGGAGTTGCTGAAGGCCAGATGGAGGGGGGGGGGGGGGGGGGTAGGGTTTAGGGTTTAGGGTTTAGGGGTCGGGTTTCGGGTTTCGGGTTTTTGAGGTTTGAGGGTTGAGGTTTAGGGTTTAGGTTTGTGGTTTAGGGTTTTTAGGTTCGGGTTTAGGGTTTCGGGGGGTTTAGGGTTTAGGGTTAGGGTTTAGGGTTAGGTTTAGGGTTTAGGGTTTAGGGTAGTAGTGTGCGGGGTATTCTTATGTTAGGGCCCTCGAGTCCTGCCCCCCCCCCCCCCCAGGTCCCATAAGAAAAAAAAAAAAACAAAACCCTAAACGCTTACGGTTTAGGGTTTAGGGTTTAGGTTTTAGGGTTTAGTGTTTAGGGTTTAGGGTTTAGAGTTGAGTGCAAGGGCCGCCAGCTGCTGCGTTCTCAAGCACGTCTTGGGGGTGGAGCCCAGGCCAAGAATTGCGACACCATGCTGCTGCCGCGGCATTGGTGGCTCCCGCCATTTATGTCCCAGGCCATTCATGAGAAAGCTCCCCTCTCCCTGAAGACCTCGGTTCAGTTGAGAGGCTTTTGGATTTAGGTTTCGGATTTCTTTACTTGTGTGCAGGCGCATGTCTTTGGGCTCAGATCAAGATACTCCTCTAAGAGCAGCGTATACCCCCTCAAGAACCCTAAGCCAATACATAGCCAAACTACTCCCTGGAAGACTTTACGCTAGTTACGCCAGGCCAGGACCTTGGGGACCAGATGAACTGTATAATTGGGGGGGGGGGGGGGGAGGGGTTATATACCCTATGCTACTATACTTCCGATGAAGGCATATGAACCATGAACCCTTTTGGGATTCATTGGGCCCCCAAGAAAACGAAGACCGCACCCCACCCCAGGGCACCAGCGCGCTGCATGAAGCTGCAGCATGCGGCCACAGTTCCACTGTGAAGTGGCTCCTTGAGGACTTGGGCAGCTCAGGGCTTCTCAGGAAGAGCTGCACCATGCCGCTAGGAGAATTTCAAGTAGGGTTTGGGTTTTGGGGGTTAGGGCTTAGGGTTTAGGAGGGTTCGGTCCAGTCTGAAGTATCTGGTCCTGGTCCCAGTGGTTGTTCTGGGGGGGGGGAGGGGGGGGGGGGGCATCTGCCAAGACGACAACCTTGAGGACTCCAAGCTCCCTGAACCCCCCCCCCCCCCCCCCCGACCCTAGACCCTAGACCCTAGACCCTAGACCCTAAACCCTAAACCCTAAACCCTAAACCCTAAACCCTAAACCCTAAACCCTAAACCCTAAACCCTAAACCCTAAACCCCCTAAACCCGAACAGTCGTCGTACCCAGAATCCCTGCAGAGTGGTTCGTCCAGCAAAAGCAAGCCCTAAACCCGTTTGGGGTTCGGATGCCTCCAAAAAGCCCCGATGCCCAAGGCCACCCCCCCCCCCCCCCCACCCTAAACCCTAAACCCTAAACCCTAAACCCTAAACCCTAAACCCCCCCCAAAGAGGAGAGGGCCGACCCCTTTCTTTGCAACGACACAGGCAGGCACCGAAGGTTTAGGGGATTTAGGAGGGCTTATGGCTTAGGGCTTAGGGCTTAGGGCTTAGGGCTTAGGGCTTAGGGCTTAGGGCTTAGGGCTTAGGGTTTAGGGCTGATTTCAAGGGGCGGAGCTGAACTCTGAGCCGAGAGAGCGCGATCAACATGAACCCAAAACATCGAAGCCCTGAACCTCCAATCCAACACCCTGAAATCCCTTTCGGTTGAGGGTTTTAGGGTTCAGGGTGTAGGGTTTAGGGTTTAGGGTTGAGGGTTGTTGAGGGTTGAGGGTTTGGTGTAAGTTTCTTTGAGGACTGCCAGGCACTAGAATTCTCCCCCCCCTTAAGCCGCGGGCAGCGTCTCAGCATCGACCCTCCCCCCCCCCTCCCCTCTCTAACTCCCAAACCCTAAACCCTAAACCCCAAACCCCAAACCCCAAACCCCAAACCCTAACCCCCAAACCCTGAAACCCAAAGGTGAACCCATCCACCTCGCCGCCTTGCATGGACACGCGCAAGTGCTGGCGCTGCTGGCAAAGGCAGGGATGCTGTTAAGACTTTTCGGCGGCGTGGAAAGTTGAGGGCGTAGGGTTTAGGGTTTAGGGTTTAGGGGTTCCCTAAACTGCCCCCCCCCCCCCCCCCACCTCGAGCAAATTTCTGGACTGGGAAGTGGGGCCTTCTTCGGCACAGGGTTGGCAAGGGGATTGCACAACAAGAATAAGAAGCTCCTTGTTTATATAAGCAGGGTTCTACTTCTGTTTTTGGTGAGTGTGTATAAGGTCCTTTTTAATATTGGTGAGTGTAGATACCTGTCCTTTTGGGGGTACAAGAAATATGTACCCTACTTCATATGACTATATCCCCCTTGAAATTATTCTTTTATTTTTGCTTATATCAAACCCAAGAGGATATTAAACATGTTACTTTTATTAAGGTTCTAAGGGGAGTATAGGGGAGCTCAGAGCCCCAAAAGGAGGATGTTTGGGGGGCGGGGGGGGGGGGGTGGGGAGGGATGGGGATGAGGCAAAGATGTAGATGCACACCCTGAACCCTTGAATCCCTAGGCGAGATCCCCCTGTTCCGAAGAGCACACCTTTCACCTGCAGCCAGGGGGTTTTGGTCTGTGGCGTTGAGTGTATGGTTCTGGTTGGAGGATGTTGCTCGCAGGATGCTTGGTGCATTGCAGGTGGATGCTAATTTTCCCTGACGCCCAAAGTAGACCCTGCTGCATGACTCCGGTCAAGTAGGAGCAGCCCTAAACCCTAAACCCTAAACCCTAAACCCTAAACCCTAAACCCTAAACCCTAAACCCTAAACCCTAAACCCTGCACCCAAATAGACCCTAAACCCACAGGTAGTCGGACCTTCGCGACCCCATGTTGGCAGCACCACGCCGCTCCACCAGGCCTGAAAAGCGTTCTCGGGTTTAGGGTTTAGGGTTTAGGGTTTAGGGTTTAGGGTTTAGGGTTTAGGGTTTAGGGTTTAGGGTTTAGGGTTAGGGTTAAGGTTTTAGGGTTTGGGGTTTCGGGTTCGGGTTAGCCCCACCCCAGACCCCCCAAGTGGTGCCGCGTTTCTGTGGTATGATGCGAAAAGCAAGAAGTATCAACAAAGCAGCCGGTGTCGAGATTTTAGGGTTGAGGGTTTGGGGTTTAGGGAACTTTGGGATCATGATCAACGCTGGCCAGAAGGTTCACGAAAGCACGCCCAATCCTTTAGGGTTTAGGGTTTAGGGTTTAGGGTTTAGGGTTTAGGGTTTAGGGTTTAGGGTGCATCAGGATCCGAAGAGTTCCCAGGCTCGACCTTTGCTCAAGTTCCTAAAGCTCCGGAATCCTCAGCCTACTCAACCCTGAACCCCTGCACCTTCCAGCCCCTACACTCTCAACCTCTGACCCTCTAAAGGATCCTAGTGTAGTACTTTTTTGGTGTAGTATGCTATAACCCCCACAATCTCAATCTCAAACAGGAACTATGTTGGAGCCTTCAGGGCAGTCCTATATCCCGGTTTAGGGTTGAGGGTTTAGGGTTTAGGGTTTAGGGTTTAGGGTTGTGGGCCTTCGGATGAACTGGAGGCTGCCTTTGGCGGCCACGCCGCAGCGATCCAAGCACTCGTGCAGTCTGGTGCCTCCGTCGACGAGGTTGGGGGGAGTTTCGTGGGGGCAGAGGCTGTAGGGATGTAGGGTTTAGGGTTTAGGGTTTAGGGTTTAGGGGCTTTAAGGAGTTAGGGTTGAGGGGTGTGAGGGTGTTAAGAGTGCTCTGAGATTAGCGGGTTTTTGTTGAGGCCCTCGTTGGTTTTGCGGAGGTTGAGTGCAAAGATTGAGGGCAAAAGCTCCCACTCTGTGGGTGCAGGGATACTATTCTCTACTCATCTTGGGTTTCAAGCCGCCGTTGGATGAGTCAGCAAACTTCCATTGACTGGCTTAAGGGGCCAGAAGCGGTGGCTTGGAGGGCAGGTTGGTTCACACTTGTTACTTGTTCCAATCTGAAAGCCCCAAGTGTGGCATTCCACGGAAAGTAGCGCCAAGAAAGTAGGCAACTGAGATGTTCCCCCCCCTATCCTAACAGTCCTGAACAGTTTAACAGGGGGTACGTTTATTCCTAGTAAGGACTGTTAGTACAAAGGGGGAACATCCCAGGCAGGCAGGCTGTAGCCCTAAACTCTAAACTCTAAACCCTAAACCCTAAGCCCTAAACCCTAAACATCTTCTGCGAGGCGGATCGCCGGGAGCAGCGCCCCATTCACCATGCCGCCCTTCGTGGCCACAGCGCCGCTTGCTTCTACGCATTGGAGTTGTTTGCAGGGCTCGTCTTCTAGACTTGTAGAACTTAGGGTTTAGGGTTTAGGGTTTAGGGTTTAGGGATTATCCCAGCTCCCAAATCGCAACACTCAGAGCCACGCACGTCTGGGGTGTGAAGCTGGAAGGCCCACAGCTCCACTCCAACTCCCTGGCCAAAAGCGCCTTTTGCTACGGTAGGGTTTAGGGTTGAGGGTTGAGGGTTTTGGGTTTGGGGGTTTAGGCTTCCCGTGGCTTAGGGAGCCGGTTGCAAGCCAAAATGGGTCCTCTGCCCCAGACCCTAAAGCTACCCTAACATTTCTTCGGGTTTCGGGTTTCGGGTTCAGGGTTTAGGGTCTGGGGTTTAGGGTTTAGGGTTTGGGGTTTGGGGTTTGGGGTTTAGGGTTTGGGTCGGCAGAGGAGGCGGGACCCAAGCATTCCACTTCCGGTTTCGTTCCTGAAGAGCAGAGCCATGCTCCTGAGCAGCTACAGCAACCCCAAATCCTTAAACCCTTAAAGCCCTAAACCCTAAAACCCTAAAACCCTAAAACCCCTAAGCCTTTCTTAGCCACTTCTGGATGAATAGGGCCAAACCCCAAACCCCAAACCCCAAACCCCAAACCCCAAACCCTAAACCCTAAACCCTAAGAACCCTAAAACCATCCTAAACCCTAAAACCCGAAGCCATGAATTACCTAATATCCCCTAGAAACCCTATAATCCATAACCCAACTTACTAAACCATGAAGCCCGCACAGCTCAACTGACCCCCACATTGTCATGAGGCGGCCTTGCGCAGACTCCTGGAGGCCGTTCTAGGGACATTGTGGCTCCGTTTGGTTTGGGGGCTGGCTTTGGTTTTAGGGTTTAGGGTTTAGGGTTTAGGGTTCAGGGTTTAGGGTTTAGGGTTTAGGGTTCAGGGTTCAGGGTTTAGGGTTTAGGGTCTAGGGTTTAGGGTTTCCTAAGTTGGGGTACCCTTCAAGCCAAGGCGACTAAGTCCTAAACGACGAAGCCCTAACCCCCCCCCCCAAACCCCACCCAAGCCCTTCAATGCTCAACCCTTTCGGTGGTGGGGGGGGTTTAGGGTTTAGAGTTTAGGGTTCAGAGTTTAGGGTTTAGGGTTTAGAGTTTAGGGTTTGGGTTCAATGGTTTAGAGTTTATACTGTAGGGTTTAGGGTTTAGGGTTTCCTAAACCCTAAACCCTAAACCCTAAACCCTAAACCCTAAACCGTTTCGGTTTCATGCAGGCAGGCAGCAGTAGCAACATCCTGGATGCAAGCCGCTCGGACTCCGAAAGAGATCCACAGGAAATGGGGCCACAACTGCTTGCCCTGGACCCGAAGCCCTCAACTCTTCATTACACTAAGCAAGAAGCCTGTTCCGTCAGAAAGTGTGAAGAAGATTCCAAACATGTTCTGAAGCACGAACCTATATACCCCGCGATCGCGGATCTCATAAGCCCCCCAGGACCGTTGCACAGTTCATCTTCTCCCTTGTTTGTCAAGAAGAGAATTCTTCATGTTGCCATCTTTTTCGAATGGAGTTGTAAGGGACGACCGACCTGTTCTCGATTTTCACGCACACCCACGACATATCTACACAGAAAGCACAGCATACCCAGTAAAAACCCAACCACCTGTTCTAGGCCATACTTTGGTTCTGAAGGGGGCTTAGGGCTGAGGTGTAAGGTTGGGGGCTCGGGCCCATGATGCGATAATATGCTGGCATGGCAATCACTGTCACTTACAGTCGACTTTACCTAGTATGGTTTAGGGTTTAGGGTTTAGGGTTTAGGGTTTAGGGTTCAGGGTTCAGGGATTAGGGTTTAGGGTTTAGGGTTTCTTTATGACCCCAACCCCTCGCCATGCGCAGCAGCTTGGACAACATGTTCAGCTTCAGCCGACAGGGTTTTGGCCTGCTCTCTCTTCGCAAGGACGTCGTGCACCCCTCCACCATGCAGCTGAGGGCCTTCCACAGGAGCCCTAAACCCCAAACCCTAAACCCTAAACCCTAAACCCTGAACCCTGAACCCTAAACCCTAAACCCTAAACCCTAAACCCTACTCTTGTGCTGCCGGGCTCCGGACTTTCAAGGGCTTTGGGGTCTCAGGGGTTTGTCTCCTCACTTTATGTTACATGCGTGTACGAATGTGTACTTATGTAAGTGCAGTACAAGAAGATGTGTATTCTTTGATCGTTGTCGGCACTGATTTTGGTTGTTGTCTCGCTGTTGTTGAATAAACCCTAAACCCTAAACCCTAAACCCTAAACCCTAAAAAAAAAACCCTGAAACGAATGTATTGCGGCCTCTGCAGCATTGGGGGAAGCATGGCTTGAAGGCGGGGAGGGGTCGACGAGATGGCTCGTGGCATGTGTGCTTCCCAGAGGGACAGGAATCTTTGGGAAGTATTCCTGCACCAGGGTTTAGGGGTTTGGGGTTTAGGGTTTAGGGTTTAGGGTTTAGGGTTTAGGGTTTAGGGTTTAGGGTTTAGGGTTTAGGGACCCAGCATCTCAACAGTGAGAATCGTGTTGTGTCCCTAAATCCCAGTGAGGGCCATAATGCTTGTTGAGCAGACGGTTGCTGATTCCGATGCTTCGGTCTCTCTTGGACGGCACACGCCACGTTGGAAAGCTTTTAGACATAAAGCACCCCGCAAGCCGTACACCACCACAAAAATCTCAAAGCCCTAAATTCAACCCATCAACCCCCCCCAAACCCCCTAAAGCACTGCAAGATCTCGGGATACTAGCAGTCCATAATCGGTATTATAGTAGGGGGCACGATAAAGCCCTATTCAGGACTGTGATTATAAGGGGAAACCATCCTAAACCCTCAACCCTACAGGGATCCCTAAACCCTAAACCCTAAACCCTAAACCCTAAACCCTAAACCCTAAACCCTAAACCCTAAACCCTAAACCCTAAACCCTAAACAGATCCTTAGTTGATCCACTGTTGCTGTGGCAAGCCGAGCCCGTGAGGACAGCGCCGAAGCCGACACAGTGCACCTTGCCCTGCGTAGGGCTTCTCGTTTTAGGGTTTAGGGCTTAGGGTTTGGGGCTTTAGGGTTTAGGGTTTAGGGTTTAGGGTTTAGGGTTTAGGGTTTAGGGTTTAGGGTTGTGCCCATGAGGGGGGTGAACATGAAGGGCAGCCTCGTCCGACAGGACCTCGGGGGGGGTGAGTGAGCGAGAGAGAGGGAGGGAGAGAGAGTGTGTTGGGTCTAACAAGGTTCAGACTCCACACGCTATCCCGAGGGGCACCGCGCCTGGGCGCCTTTTAAGACGCCCAAGTCGTGGTGGGAAGTAAGTTGCGGCTCTTTGGTCTTTCCCGGTTTAGGGTTGAGGGTTGAGGGTTGAGGGTTTAGGGTCTAAGTCTTGCTTAAGGTTGAAGGGCAGAGGAGTCTTGGCAGAGGAGTCTTGGCAGACGAGGCACAACAAGTGGTACTCTCTATGCTCCAAAACCTACCTTTGACACAAATCGGCCCCAAAAACGCGCGAGCTCGCAGGCCGCAGGCTCGAACACCATCTAAGCCCTAACTCCCCAAGTCCTCGAAATATACCTTGTGATCTGATCCTAACCCCTAAGCCCAAAACCCTCAACCAGAGACAGAGCCGAGTGCACCATAAACTCTAAACCCTAAACCCGCCCGGAATCCCTGCAGAGTGGTTCGTCCAGCTATGCGGGCGCCAGAAAAAACCCGCAAGCTCAGGCTCGTCCCCTTCGCAGGTGCAACACCTCGGGCGGCGCTGGACTGAAGCGAGTGTAGTTCCCAGAGAGCCCAATACCCCCTTAATTCAGGAATATAGCTTAAATTATACAGGGATCCTTATTCTGATTTAAGGAATATTCCTTAATTAAGGTGTATTGGGCTGTTTGGGTTCTGCCTAAGGGAACTAGGGATGACTTCCATTGTAAATCCCTTGTGCGACCCTGTATGGAATCATAGAGAGCGGAATTCCCTACTAAGGACCAGTAAGTCAAGAGCTCAGGGAACTTTGCAAGTAGGTTTCGGGCTTCTCAACCAAGTTATAGGTAGAATGGCCTATGCTTCGGGTACTTACGTGTGGCGCAGGGTTGTTGCAGCTTTACACATATTTTCAGGGCTTTTGGGTCTTGCAGGGTCTTGTGGGTTCAGCCTTTCAGTACGCCTTTGTGGGGCGCAGGGGTTGTTGGGGGGGGGGGGGGGTTGCATGCGAGGATTCCACCGTAGACCGTAGGGTTTAGGGTTTAGGGTTTAGGGTTTAGGGTTTAGGTTTTAGGGTTTAGGGTTTAGGGTTTAGGGCCCTACCCCCTGACCCAAACCCCATGTAGACTCTAGACCCGAAGCCCGGTGGGCCAATGGGAAACTATCGCGAGGACCACAATGCCGCGGCGGTGGAGCTGCTACTGCAAGCCCGAGGTGTCCCTTTTTTTCGTGGGGGGGAATAGTGGTTTTGGTTTAGGTTAGAGACTTTGGCACAAGAATGCAGCTTGATAGTCTTGCTGTCCTCGCTTTGGCGTGACAACCTCACAGTGGGAGCACCCTGATCCCCCAACTAGGATGCCCAGTAGTGCCCTTATTTCCCTTTTTGGGGGCTCTAGGTTCCCCTATAAACCCCTTTCAGAAAAAAAGGGCACCCTTTTTAATCCTAGGTTACTGGGCAACCTAGCCAAGCTGGTGCTTCAGGTGACCCTTTGCACTGTGATGAAGATGGCCACACCCCGGCAGACCTGGCCATGGCTGCAGGCACCGATCTCTGAGCCTAGACAGGTCCTGAAACCTCCAAGCCATTTTGCTCAAGATCCAGGGTTTAGGGTTTAGGGTTTCGGGTTTAGGGTTTAGGGTGTAGGGTTTAGGGCAGTGCCTTAACACCATCAGCAGGAGGATGGAATGTTGGGTGTCCAAGGAACACAAGGCCCGGTCAGCTCATCCGAGCAGGTCCGCCAAGCAGCCTACTCGCTGGCTCTCTCCATCCTCTCGTGGGTGCCTGATGTTGGCCACTGATTGTTGACTGCTTTCGCAAATCGGCACCAACATCGAGCATCGGGTTCTACGCCCTCGAGCGTCCTGGTCGCCAACATCTTCGAGTTCGGATACCCTAAACCCTAAACCCTAAACCCTAAACCCTGAACCCTGAACCCTGAACCCTAAACCTGCAAGAAGCACGATTTTCGAAGGCGAGCTCCCCCGCTGGCAGAGGAGGGGCGCCATCTGCTACCTCAGCGCGGCGGTTCCCCATGGAACTTAACTTACCTTGGGACCGACCGAAAGTTGGGGTCATATACCGTTTACTACTATAATTCCTATAAAGGTAGATCATATACCCTTTACTACTATAATTCCTATAAAGGTAGATGAACCACAAACCCTTTCAGGGTTCATTTGGTCCCCAAGGTAGGCTGCCCCTGGCATAGTTGAAATGGGCCACCTAGACTCCGAGATGTGGTGTGGTATTCTCTGGCAGCTGGGGGTTTAGGGTTTAGGGTTTAGGGTTTAGGGTTTAGGGTTTAGGGTTTAGGGTTTAGGGTTTAGGGCTTCACACCTACCAGGTGGCCAGGAGTCGCTTTTCTGGCCATCGGCGTTGACATGAAGGTGGGGGAAACTCCATACAAGATCATGAGGAAGTGGAGGAAGCCCCCGTGGCCACGATGAGGCTGCTCAGGTGCCCATGACTGTTGACTAGGGTTTAGGGTTTAGGTTTAGGGTTTAGGGTTTAGGGTTTAGGGTTTAGGGTGTAAGGCCGTCAACTGTACAGCTGCAGAGAAAGAGTGAGGTTTTGGCTGGTTCACAGCCCAGTGTGGCGCACTCATGTAAGTTACAAGGCCTCCTTACTCCAAGACCTATGTGGGCCAATCGCCAAGTTCCTGGCTCTTTGTAGAGTGTGAACAGCTCTGGCAACCAAGCTGCAAATGGGCATTGGAGTCGGCTGTAGGGGCTTGCAATCCCTTTTGCAGGGTGAGGAGCATCAGCTGTCCTGCTTCTTCGGCACCTTGCGGCACCGAGACCTGTGGGGCAGCAGCTGTTTGCCTGATCGCCCGCAAGTTGTCTCCTTATGTTTGTACCCTAAACCCTAAACCCTAAACCCTAAACCCTAAACCCTAAACCCTAAACCCTAAACCCTAAACCCTAAACCCTAAACCCTAAACCCTAAACCCTAAACCCTAAACCCTAAACCCTAAACGCTACCTTCTGCCTCCAAGCTTAAAGAGGGCAACAGATCAAGGCCTAAGGCGCCCTTGACAGCAAATGGTTGCGTCAGGGCGCTGCAGAGAAGACAGCCGCATACCTCTGGATTTTCTGAGACCTTTGCGTGGACTCTGTGCATGCCAGCATTGAGAAAGCCCCAGATCTTGCGGCACACAAACCAGAAATCCCAACGCCCGCGCCCATCGATTCCTCGAGGCTCCTGCTTGCAACATCTTGCACAGGGGATCGCTAGGAAGGCCAGTGGTGCCCCCAACCCTAAACCCTAAACTCTAAACCCTATTACCCTTTCGGATTCTGGGGTTCCGTCGTGAAACGAACCAGCCGAGGACAAGGCGCCGTTACTATATAGGGTCTAGGATAAATATAGGGTTACCTTGATGTCACGTCCTGGCACAGTAATCTCAAATCAGCAAGGGGCTCAACCGTCCATCTGGGTGCTTCCCAAATTAAGGGTACCCGTTCTCGAACCCCATCATACTCCAAAATGGGTATCCCTATGTTTTCAGAGACTTGAATCCTCAAAAAGCGTACATGCATGTTTTGGTTCCGCTGTGACGTCTCAGTCCAACGGTCTGTGATTGCATTGCCGTCGCTCATAGCAAATGCAGCAAGTTGTCCACATGGTCGTTTTTCTGCATCAAGCGCGCCGCGGCATGCATCTCTCAATCGTTATGAAAGCTGCCCTGGTACTTACCATATTCTCCTTGACATCCATGACAGCAAGGGTTTTTTTTCTGCGAGTCCCTGCTGGCTCCAGGAACGTTCCCTTGCTGCGCCAGTCGCGCTTCGCTCTGCCACAGCTTCAACGTATTGGATGCTTGTCAAGAAACATGCGTAGCTGGCCTCAGACTGCCACATCCCCACCACACGACGGGAAGTTTCGAGCTTCCTGCAACCGTTATAGCAGTTGGGTAACGAGGAAAGGTGGTTTGATAGCCTGCAGTACATGCACCAGGCGTGCGCAGTGTCACTTGCCGGCAGGTTTGGGAGAAGGTTGGGCAGTCGCAGCTAGCCACCGTCATACTTGTGCAGTGCGGGCAGATGGTGGGCTCGTCTGTTTTGGATGGAATGAAGATGGGCAGTGTGATGTGCCAGCAGATTTGGGACCCGTTTTGGCTGTCGCAGCTGGCGACTATCATACTTGCGCAGTGTGGGCAGATGGTCGGCTCGTTTGTTTTGGATGGAATGAATATGGGCAGTGTGATGTTCCAGCAGATCTGGGACCCGTTTTGGCTGTCGCAGCTGGCTCCCTTCATACTTGTGCAGTGCGGGCAGATGGTGGGCTCGTTTGTTTTGGATGGAATGAATATGGGCCGTGTGATGTGCCAGCAGATTTGGGACCCGTTTTGGCTGTCGCAGCTGGCGTCCATCATACTTGTGCAGTGCGGGCAGATGGTGGGCTCGTCTGTTTTGGATGGAATGAAGATGGGCAGTGTGATGTGCCAGCAGATTTGGGACCCGTTTTGGCTGTCGCAGCTGGCCACCGTCATACTTGTGCAGTGGGGGCAGATGGTCGGCTCGTTTGTTTTGGATGGAATGAACATGGACAGTGTGATGTGGATAACCGCTGATGATGCAAAAAAATGATACCGACTGCTACGGTGACCTTAGTCAGCCTTAGTCTCTTTGAACTACCTAGTAGTAGAGTAGGTAACCTTTAACCTTTTTGGGGTAATATAATCCCCTTCTAATCCCAAAGGTAAACCTTGAGTTCCCCCAGGTTACTGGACAACTAAGACTATTCAAACCCTAAACCCTAAACCCTAAACCCTAAACCCTAAACCCTAAACCCTAAGCCCCAAACCCCAAACCGTAAACCCTAAACCGTTTTGAACTCTTCATAGCAGCTTCACCAGCATGGCAAGCCCCTTTGACCCCCCAAGCCCAAGCCCGGAACCAGAAGTTGGAGCGGCAATCTTGCCAAACCCCAAACCCCAAACCCTAAACCCTAAACTAAACCCTAAACCCTAAACCCTAAACCCTAAACCCTAAACCCTAAACCCTAAACCCTAAACCCTCGCTTGAGTGGGAATCTGGCGGATTGTCATAGTGAGAGCCTTCCGACCGAGTCCTTGCCTGCCTTGTGCAAGTGCGAGAGCCGAAACCCTAAACCCTAAACCCTAAACCCTAAACCCTAAACCCTAAACCCTAAACCCTAAACCCTAAACCCAATCTTGAAATCACATGAGTACCATCGCTGGGATAGCGGTCCAACCACCCTCAAGCCGGCAGCAATTCAAACCGCAATGCTGCCTATCATGACCTTCAACTCTACAATGATTTCGACCTAACTTATATTGTCAACATTTTCTTTTGTAGATGTATTATGTGACCAGTTGCTCGCCCTTTCGTGTTCATGTGGTTTTTGTTTCCTAAATGTGTTAACCTCATCTCCTGCATCTTAATCAGGATGTACGCGGTTCTTCTTTCTCTTCATAGTTAAATTTAACTTCACGTTGAATTGATTACTGGGCTTTCGGGCTTCCATTGGTACAAATCTCGTTGCCGAACGCTTCATCTGATTATTGTAGGTGCGTAATATTTCTAAGCTGTAATCTGGCCATTGGATGCTCTGGTGTTCCTTTCTTTCCATCTGCTTCAACCCGCTTATACAACATGTCTTTAAAAGTGCGGATGGCTTTTTCACTGAAATTTGGGTGCACCCTCGTTCGGTGATGTTCTATGTTCTCATCATTCAAAGACGTTTGTATTGCCTCCTTGTTCAATGCGCCTTTTTCATCTGTATAACTGATTTCGGGCTTCTTACCCATTTTATTCAAGCACTCAGTCATGCCACTCGCTACGTCGCCTTCTTGTTTGCTTTTTTTCGGCACTACATGCATAAACTTATCAAATACATCAATCATCAACACCCCTACCTTAAACTGTTGTTCGTTCAAACCGTTTGTAAAAATCAAAATCCATCTGATATTCATAAGCGGAATGAGGGGCCATAAAACTGTTTTGTTCTACCGACTTCTGTTCTGTTCAACATTCTTTCGAAACAACTCGATAATATCTCCCATTGTTCTTGTTTTGTCTTTCTCCCGCGCTTCCGCTCGAGTTCTGGATTTATTCCTGAAACCGGCCTTATAAAGATATACATCATAAATGATTTTATGTTTCTCGCTTAGATCAATAAGTAATGAAAAATACTCATCATTTAAAAAGACATAGGCAGAATCACTTTGTATTCGTTCATATCGGATTTGGGTGCTCCGCGCTTCTTTCCACTATAGGTTTTATCAGAATTGATTTCGGTAATTTGCGTTGGTGTCTTCTATGAATTTCAGAATTCGCTTCTTTTGGGTCTGCCTTGAACTTGCTTCGCGCTTCTTTTGCATAAACTGCTCGTCTTCTTTCCTGTTGTTAGCGTAAAGCCGTTGATACAATGCCAGTTGTTGCTTAATCAAGGCTTAATCTCATCCATTGTCATATCCTCGGGACGTTAAGTTGTTCATATAACTATACCACATATTAATATTTAATGTTCAGATATGTTTTCTACATGTCGCAAATATCTTTAGAAGGTATTTAAAAAAGGTACTAGTTTTTTGTGTTGTAATTACATTGCATACGAGCAAACTGTTAAGTGCAACACGAGAGCACTACCAACAACCTACGGCGACTTCTAAACTCGTTTATCACAAGGCGCCCGAACCAAAATACAAATCTCATTAACCTTTTTGGAGACCGTAAAATAGCGCCATTCACCACCACAGAGAATTTACTCAGACAGTTTATAGTCGCAAAAACCGACAAACAAACAACCAAGGAAAACAACGCAAACGACAAAGTCCACGACAAACACCACGACAAAGAACCCCTAGGGCGACGAATGCAGGAAGCAAAGAAGGAAAACAAAAATCGAAATGGTGCCAACATCTACTCTATAGATAGATCTTTTATAGAGTTAGACAAAGACAGTGCCATTAGAAATGGTTTCAAAGACTACAAAGACATACCGACATACCTTTGACTTTCGGAAAGAACCTAAAATAAAAGCACAATGTAACACCCACCAGATACACAGAGGACTTCTTGGGCAAACGATTTTTTAGATATGAGAAGCAAACTAAAAGCCTCTTCAAGAAGCTAATGGACACCTTCCAGTGTAAGGAATGTATTCAAATTAAAAGAGCCTTGCAGGGTAGATGGTGGTATAGATTTTAAACCAGAGCAGGAGAAACTAGCAAATACCGCTAATGTAAGTGTGTACAACATCTACATTCAAACGCCCTTGCACCCCGGCTTTCAAACCCTCAAGTCAAGGAAGCAATACAAATAAACCATTACTCATAACAAAGAAAGTGGGTGTTGGCTTAACACCATAACCGGTCGGTGTAAGGATACGCTCACGGGAGCGAAACGAACGATTAACAAAAGAAAGTATGTTACAACTGATGAATCAGACCGAAGAGGATTCAAAACGAATGGGGCATCAATGCAGGATATGGTGCCAGTGTTTGAGCACGACGGCATTCAAGTCAGCTTGTGTATTTCATGCAGCCTATTTTCAAGCATTCACCACTAAATACAACCTACCCACATTATACGCCCTAGTTAAAAACTAGACACCGATTATCCCGAAAGCAATGAGTGCGAAGTTTTCAAGGGGTAGGCGATGGAAGTAGGGCGTAGGTAGCGTGGTCTTTGTGTGGTGTAGACGCCTGAGCGAGCGCGAAACGCAGAAACGCATAGAGAGAGAGAGAGAGTGCTTCGACACGCACGATGCACACAGCATGTTCGCATACATGCACAAAAAAAACAAAGCTGCGTAGGCTATCGGCCCTCAACCATACAGTTAGTGAGCATGTCTTGTTGTGCGTACAGCTCTGCTTTCTTTCGGTGTCTTTTTTCCTTGGCAAGTCCATGGAACCGACTAAGAAACTTTAATCGCTACAGTCGGTCCCATGATTCTTGCGGGGTTTTCAACCCAAAGAGCCCAATACCCCTTAAGGAATATTCCTTAAATCAGAATAAGGATCCCTCTAGAATTTAAGCTCTATTCCTTAATAAGTTAAGGGGTATTGGGCTCTCTGGGAACCCGGAAGTGGAGCACCACGTGATTTGCGGGGTTTTTCAAAGACGCAGAATTGGAGCGCTGCGTGATTTGCGAGGTTTTAATTTTCAAGATGCGGAATTGGAGGTGATTTCCAGTACCGCGTGTGTACTATAAAAGAAGGAGAATCCCGGCTGGCCGCGGAAACGTGGGTTCCAGTACTGCGTCTGTACTACAAAAGTTTAAAGAGAAGGAAAATCCGGCTGTGTACGTGATTTGCGCACGATCGATCCCCGCAGAGGAGTGGCGGACGAGCTTCAAAATGCACAAAAACGCACAGGGGAGCGCTTCGAACGCACAGCGGGAGCGCTTTGACACGCACGATCCCGGCAGAGGGTTCGTCGGCGAGCTTCGAACTGCGAAAAAACGCACAGCGACAGCGTTTCCACACGCGCGATCCGCAGAGGGTTCGACGGCCACGTTGTAGATGCACAGCGGGAGCACTTCGACACACGCGATCCGGCAGAGGGGTGCATCCCGCGAACCCCCGCCAAACCTAGCTATACCCCGAAGAAATAAGGATCGAATTTATTTGGCAGCGTATAGGCGGGGGTGGTGGTGGTGGTGGTGGTAGTGGTGGTGGTGGTGGTGGTGCTGGTGCTGCTGGTGCTGCTGGTGCTGCTGGTGCTGCTGGTGCTGCTGGTGCTGCTGGTGCTGCTGGTGCTGCTGGTGCTGCTGGTGCTGCTGGTGCTGGCGGTGGTGCTGGCGGTGGTGCTGGCGGTGGTGCTGGTGCTGGCGGTGGTGCTGCTGGTGCTGCTGGTTCTGCTGGTGCTGCTGGTGCTGCTGGTGCTGCTGGTGCTGGTGGTGCTGGTGCTGGTGCTGGCGGTGCTGCTGCTGGTGGTGCTGGTGGTGCTGGTGGTGCTGGTGGTGGTGGATGGTGGTTGTGAGGTAGTGGTTGGAGTTGGTGTACTTGGGCGAGCGAACCAATAATCATAACAGTATTTGCACAATGACACAATTCTTGCTTCTTATTTTTTTGCCTCATTGCAAAACCTCATATTCCAAGACCTTGTTCCTGGTACATAGTTTTTTTAGAATAGACACCATTTCCATTGATTCTAGGGGTAGGGGTTTCGGGTTGATACTATCGGGGGTTCTGGGCGGTGGGGCTTACTATGGGGTTGAGTATGATTCTATATGGGGTTGGGCATGGTTCCTTACTATGGTTTTTCATCGTTTGGGTCTTGGGCTCGGGATTTTGGTGAGTTGGGGTTTGAGGTACAGGTTTTCATGGTTTGGGTGCTAGGGGGTGGTGCATGATAAGAATTTAAATTGAAAATGGCCACTGCTAATTCATCATAGGGCTCAGGGTAAAGATGTGATCTGATCCCTGATATCGTTTGGCCAAGACCCTGTGAGGCCACTTCCGTGTGGCAGATATGCTGGAGAGGGCTGCGGCAGGCAAAAAAGAAGCTCCCAGCGGCCGCTACTGTTGGTGGTTGATTTTCCAAGGGCAGTTTCCTCCATCCGGGGAGGGCTCCACACCTAGACTCTGAGCCCTAAGACCCGAAGACAGTGTCCCTTGGCTCTTCGATCTGTCTCTAAACCCTAAACCCTAAATCCGAAACCCTAAAGCCTAAACCCTAAACCCTTAGCTTTGGAACGCTGAATCCCGAGAGACTTCTGGACACTTGGTTGCCTTGCCCTCCTCGCGCCGGTGTGAGCCAAGGCTTCTACCCAGCTACCAAAGCGAAGTGGCCCGAGGCTCACAGATGAGAGCTTTCTTCGCCAGGAAAGTGCCCGGAAGATGGGGGGTTAGGATGTGTTGAGGGCGGGCTGGATACTCTTGAACCGGCTTGCTTTGGGAATGTAGAGGGCATGGTGATTCTGGGGGCTGTATAGTTTGGATTTGGGTCCAAAACCTGCAGCCGTTGAAATCCTTAGCCCGAAGCTGAGGTACGGCGGACAGCTACGCCCTGGTGGCGCACTCAGCCCTCTTGACCCCATAAACCCGTCCCACACCCTCGAGCCTCAAAGCCTTTTCTTCTTGACAGAAACCCTAGCCCCCCCAAAACAAGAGGTACACTTCATTGTCGCTGTGACACTCCTAAACCCTAAAGCCCTCAGTCCCACCGAAGTTGTGTCACCCCCCAAGCAAAAGGTTCGAGGGTTTGGTGTTTGGGTTTAAGGTTAGAATGCGCAGGTTGAAACCAGGGTTTTTGGTTTAGGGTTTAGGGTTTAGGGTTGTTTAGGGTTTAGGGTTTAGGGTTTAGGGTTTAGGGTGCTTCCAAATGTGTTAAAGAGTGATGCCGGAAGGGTCGTCTCCCCACGTGACCATAAACGATGGAGCCAATGATCCTGACCGGCTTCGGGGGTTTCGGGTTTAGGGTTTAGGGTTTAGGGTCTAGGGTTTGGGGCCTCAACTTTTTAGGAGCTCAGGTTTTCTGGTGTAGAGTTGAAGGCGGAGAATATACGACATGAAGCTCTCAACACAATGTAAGGTACGGTTGGTGGGTTTATTGCCTGAGCATTTTGCAACATGCGAGCGCGACAGCGATCGAGGTTCAAAACCGCCATGATCACACCCCCTCAGATCTGCCGGAACGTGGCGCATCAGGACTTGCTTCTATCTTTGGGCCTGGGAGTGTCTTGGGGCTTGCAGTTGTTGGGGAAGCCCCGTTTGGTGGCTTACATTCTGTTTAGGGGTTCTGAGTTTCGGGTTTAGGGTTTAGGGTTTAGGGTTTCTTTGAGGTGAAAGATGCTTTGGATAGGGGGGCTTTTCGAAGGTTTGTGATCATGTAAGACTTGCGACGGCTCGGGTATTTTGAGCTCCTTACAGCATCCCAGTACTGTGTCTGGTTTAGAACTGATCCAGAGGCATACCGTTCATGCGCCTTGCCGGCGGCGTGTTGGCAAAAACTGGCTTGCACATCTTCATGATTTGCATGTAGCCCTGCTTGAGCAGAGAGCTTCTGCTTGAACTATATGGGTTTCCGACAATAACGGACCCCTAGTATAGACCCCCAAAGAGTAGTATCCCCGTATAGGAAGGACCCCATTAAGGTACCCCCAATTTCGGAAGCCCTAAACCCATGTGTGGTCTCCGAATAGTGGTACCATCTTTTTGGTACCCTAAACCCTAAACCCTAAACACTAAACCCTAAACCCTAAACCCTAAACCCCAAACCCTCCACCCCCTCATTGGAGGATGTGATCATCACGGTGGAGGATTGGCGCGCCAGCTCAGCTCAGGTCTGCCTCGGTCTGCCTCGGATGGCATCGCCTCAAAGCTCACGTAAAAGTACTTGCTGAAAGTAAGAAGTAACACGCACGCATATATATATATATATATGTATATATATATAGACATATATGTGTGTATCACTGTGTATATGTATATGTATCTGTACATGTATATGTATATGTTAGGTATATGTATATGTATATATATATATATATATATACATATACACATATTTATATGTATATATATATAGATATACGTGTATAGATATATACATACATAAGTACATACATATCTACATATACATATATATATATATATACATATATGTAGATATAGGTATTTGTCTGTATATTTACTGCGTCCATAGAGGGCCATCGCAACCCTCCGCTCCGAAGGTTTTTGTTCTGGACGAGGGATGTTGACCTTTAAGAGCCTAGGCTCCTAGACTTAAACCCTAAACCCTTAACCCTTAACCCTTAACCCCTAAACCCTAAACCCTAAACCTAGCAAGCTCATTGAGGTCTAGGGTTGAAGGGTTGAAGGGTTGAAGGGTTGAAGCGTTGAAGCGTTGAAGCGTTGAAGGGTTGAAGGGTTGAAGGGTTGAAGGGTTGAAGGGTTGAAGGGTTGAAAAAAAAATTGAAGGGTTGATGGGTTGAAGGGTTTAAAAGTTTGGGTTTAGGGTTTAGGGCAAAAAGGGTTTAGGGTTTAGGGGTTTGGGGTTTAGGGTTTAGGGTTGAGGGCTTTAAGGTGCAGAGCGCAGGGGTCCATTCGACTCTGAGGCACCGACTAAAGCCTCCCGTTGTGCTTGGTGAGGCCCGCAGGATTGGCAGGGTTTTGTCTAAAGCAGTCTTACAGCCATTTAGGGTTTAGGGTTTAGGGTTTAGGGTTTAGGGTTTGCAATATGTGCGGCTTTTTTGGGTTTTGGGTTTAGGGTTTAGGGTTTAGCGTTTAGGGAAAAAACATCACGAGAGTTGAGGCTCTCGTTTCGTCTTCCAGCTGGAAAACGATTGCGACTTAATGGATGAGCACTCAGTGCTGATACCGATTCGTTTCGATACTATTCCGCTTCGTTTCGGTTCGATATCGACACGGCAGCCTGGCGATGCCTTCGGTTCGATACCGACACGGATTCCGCATCGATACAAAGTATTGCTGAACATCCATGATAAAGCAGCCCAGCCACTGACGCGATAGACAATGTGCCCGTTTGGGGTTTAGGGATTTGAAGCTGGGCAGGATTGAGCTGGGTTCAAAAAGCGGGTTTTGAAGGTCGATGAGGCCTGGGGGGTGAGAGGGGACGTGTTGGGAACCAATTCTGTTTCGCAATCGCTGCTGACCAATACTGGGTTCTCCATTGGCAACTTCGGAGAGGGCTAAGGGTTCAGGGTTCAGGGTTCAGGGTTCAGGGTTTAGGGTTTAGGGTTTAGGGTTTAGGGTTTAGGCTTAAGGGTTTAGGGTTTAGGGTTTGGGGTTTAGGGTTTAGGGTTTAGGGTTTAGGCTTCAGTTTTTAGGGTTTAGGGTATAGGGTTTGAGCAGTCTAAGGTGATAGCTTCTCGGGTCACAGGGTTCATAGCGTGCCAAACTTGCCGGCAGTCCGTCGTCAACTTCGCCGACCTGTGGAAGGCCTATTTGAAGGAATGGCGTAGGGTTTAGGGTTTAGGGTTTAGGGTTTAGGGTTTAGGGTTTTGGTTTTGAGGGTTCAGGGTTTAGGGTACGGAATCTTGTGCTTTCTTGAGGGTCAAAGAGCTCGGGCAAGCTGCCTCAAGCCTAAACATGGCTTTCCTTGAGTTTGGCGTATAGGGAGGTTCAGGTTTCAGGGTCTAGGGTTTAGGGCTCAGGGTTTAGGGTTTAGGGTCTAGGGTTCAGGTTTCAGGGTTTGGGGGATTAGGGTTTTTTGGGTTTGGGCTCAGAGCCCTACAGTACAAAGTCTACAGAACCTCAGTCTCAGACTTCTGACCCCATGCACCCTCTCAACCCCTTTGCTGCTGGGTTTCAGGGGTTTAGGGTTTAGGGTTTAGGGTTTAGGGTTTAGGGTTCAGGGTGTCTTCAGAGTGAGCAGCGGGTGCAGGACTGGTTTGCCCACCCCTACCACCCGGAGTTCAAGAACACACAGATACGTTTTTTCATACAACCCAAAACTCATGGTAGTGTATATCATTTACACAGCAAGACAAAAAACCGGTAGTGCGAAGTGAGAAGCATGATGCATGTGTAGAGGTTGCTGATCATCATCAGCATCATTATGGTGATGGTGGTGATGATGATGGTGGAGGCTTTCGGCAGTGGAAGCCCTGTACCCGTCTAGGTGCTTGCAATGAAGTCATGCCCAAAGAGTGCCATCTCCAGTTGCACTTCGTCTTCGCATGCAAGGACCTGAAAAAAACTCGAAGTGCTCTGTTTTCGTGTGCTACTAAAGAGCAACATTGCCAGCCGGGAACCCTGAAACTGACCCCCCCGGCTGGGTGGAACCTGTAACCCCTGTGGTGGGTACCCTGAACCCGTCCTTGGGGGCCCTGTGGTGTTGGCGGGAGCCGCCAGATGATGATGATGATGATGATGATGATGATGATGATGATGTTTGATGATGATGATGATGATGATGATGATGATGGAGGTTTCGGTGGGGGAACCCCTGTACCCGTCTAGGTGCTTGCAATGAAATGAAGTCATGCCCAAGAGTGCCATCCCCAGTTGAACTTCGTCTTCGCATGCAAGGACCTGAAAAGACTCGAAGTGCTCTGTTTCCTGTTTCCGTGTGTTCCTACAGAGCAACAGGGGGGGGGTGTCGCCAGAACACTTCGGTGGAGGTTATTGGGGGAGGGGGGGAGGGTGGGGGGGGGTCAGGTGTCGCCAGAGCATTTCGGTGGAGGTTTTCGGGTGTATACCTCTACAGGGTATGGTATTGAACAGTATGCATACAGGCACCCACAACGAGCCGACCCTCACACAGTTCGGGACGCAAGTGAGACAAAGCCTCGCCCGCCACAGATTGTGGGCTGGGTGGGCTCTCCTCGGAAACAGTGCGCCCCGAGGATGATTCACACAGAAGTCGCTTGTAAACCGATATTCTATAGACCTAAACCCTAAAGGGTTTAGGGCTTAGGGTTTAGGATTTAGGGTTTTGGGCTTAGGGTTCAGGGATCCCAAACCAAAAGCCCTGAACCTTGTAAAACCTGTCGAACCCAAAGCCTTATGTGCTAGGCATCCGGGGATCGCAGCCTGGACGTCCCAATCTGCAAGCGGCAGGGGCCAAGGCGCTCTTAGGGTTTAGGGTTTAGGGCTTAGGGTTTAGGGTTTAGGGTTTAGGGTTTAGGGTTAGTTTAGGGTTAGATTAGGGTGTGCTAGCGAATGCTGTCCCCAGACCTCGCTCTAAACATCCCCTTGTTGCACAATGTCGCCACTTAAGACAACCGCCTTTATACACCCAAACCGTAACCACGTGCCACATTCTCATCAAAATCCGCCACTGCGAGCGACCATCCTTTTCCTGATTCGCATCCTACAAGCGAGCCTTAAAAATACCGTATCAAGCAGCCCTGAATGCCCTGTAAATGATGCCTGAGTACCTTGGGAGGTAAACCCTAAACCCTAGTAGTAGAACCCTCGGCCCTGACCAGGCTCATCGGTTGGACCCGCTCTTCATTCGAGCAGCCAGGTCCTCGGCGAAGCAGCCGGAGGGTGAGGGCATTTAGAGCCTTAGGGTTGAGGGTTTCAGGGTTTAGGGTTATGTAGGGCATTGAGGGCCTTAGGGCGGTTGAGGGCGTTCAGGTTTGACGGCTTAGGCATTGAGGGTTGAGGGTTGAGGGCATTTTCTGTTTATGCGTGGTACCACTCCCCCTATCTTGGGGGGATCCCTTTTTGCCTAAACACCAAGCACCTTCTTTATGCAACATATATACATATGTATATTCCTATACATACATATATATATATACATATGGCATACATATATATATATATATACATATACGTAAATAAACATATAAATGAATACACAAACAATAAATCAATAGACAAATAAACAAATCTGGAGCCGTCAACTCTTGGAGGGGAAATCCGAAGCCGGACGTCAGCCGACTCTTGAGGATCCAAAAGATGAGGCGGAAGAAGCGGAGGGAGGCGGGGCTTAGGGTTTAGGGTTTAGGGTTTGGGGTTTAGGGTTTAGGGCTTAGGGTTTAGGGTTCAGGGTTTAGGGTGGGGCATGGAACTTTACATTTCAGGGCTTAGAAGCTGCTTTCTCTGTGGGATTCCTTAAGCAAAAGGGCCCCCAGAAAAGAGGCCCTTTCGTTAACACGGAGCAGGTCCCACAAGGCTGTAGGGGCTAGAGCCTGTAGAGGCTTAAGTTTCTCTGCTCGACTCGCCACTGGCAGGAGAATCGCCACACTGTGATGTCATCCATTGGCCGAACTTTCAGCGGTATTGGCATTGGCCGCATGAGCCGCATGGGCAGCCGCCCCTCGGCCAAGGAAACCTTTGAGACACACTCGTCTTATGGGAGGGGGCCTTCTATTCATGTAGATTCTCACTGAGGGGGTGCGGAAGTTGTCTTACGTCTGTTGATTTGCACAGGCAAAGTGATAAGCCTGATCATGGTTAAGCTGGGGTTTTGAGGGGGTGTGGGGTCGAGGGTGTGCAGGAGGGCTTGGCTTTTTAGGGACTGCTAGCTGGTAGCAGTGACGTTATATTCCCACTTGTAATCCCCTAACTGCCCCCCAAGAGGCTTCCCCAAGTGGGTCAGAGCCCGTCCTAGTAGGCTTCATGTGAAGCTCTGAACTTCACTTTGCCTTCAAGCATGCCCTGCAGATCACCAAAACCTGCAGCTCCCCCGGGTATCACCCCCTGAACCCCAAACTTTAGAACTCTAAACCCTAAACTCTAGACGCTAAACCCTAACTGCCTTAAATCACTGAAGTGGGTAGTCGCCAGCTCCAGGCATCTCCAGAATGTCCAGACGCTCGGCGTCCAGTTCACCCGAGGTGGGCTTTAGGGTTACGTAGGGTTTTTATTGGGGCCTATTTGGGGTTTTACGATTATAAGGGACCCCTATAGGGTAGTCCCCCAACTACTAGGATCCCCTTCTACTAAGGGCCCCAAGAAGGTTCCCCTAACATCGCAAATCTCACTTAGGGTTAAGTGGGGGTTGATTGAAGTTATGTAGGGTTGTTTAGGGTTTGGGGTTTAGGGTTTAGGGTTTAGGGTTTAGGGTTTAGGGTTCATGGGGGTTAACTAGGTGAATTAGATTTTGTGGCCCCCCCCCGGCCCATGCCAGCCCTGACCTAAGCCAACCGAGATGCTAGGGGTTAGGCTTTAGGCTTTAGGCTTTAGGCTTTAGGCTTTAGGCTTTAGGCTTTAGGCTTTAGGCTTTAGGCTTTAGGCTTGAGGCTTGAGGCTTGAGGCTTTAGGCTTTAGGCTTTAGGGTTTAGGGTTTAGGGTTTAGAGGGTTTAGGATTTGCAGCTTCGCACCGAAAATGATTTTAACTCAACATTCAAGGTCTCGCAGCGGGAGGGGCACCGCTTCCTAAACTCATGATGCTCAAGGGGCTCATAGTGACCAACTAAGCTCGGGGTTGGAGTAATTACTAACTATATTCCCTCATGGTTCCTTTCTAATTCGACTACAATCACCCGCAAAACCCTGTTCTAGTTATTCAGGCCCCAAAATTAATCCCACTTGACCAAGCGTTCTTCCCTGAAAGTAAGTTGGGAGTTCGGGTGTTGAGTTGTGGCTTGCGAGTTCGGTGGCAGCTCTGAACCCAAAGGAACTCAGCCCCCGAAGCCTCACCCCAAAGCCGCAACACCACAAAATAGCCCTGCTAAACCCTAAACCCTAAACCCTAAACCCTAAACCGTAAACCCTAAACCCTAAACCCCCACACCTGCCTCAAGGGCAGCAAGGAGCTTGCAGAGCGTGTGGTGGAGTCGGTCACGCCGAGGTCCGGCAAGGACCCAGCACGGTTTAGGGTTTAGGGTTTAGGGTTTAGGGTTTAGGGGTTAGGCGGGTTAGGGTTTAGGGTTTAGGGTTTAGGGTTTGGATATCTCGAGCGGCAGGTCTTAAACAAAAGTTGCCGCTGCAAGGGAAGCAGGAGGGGGATGCAAGGGAGAGCCGCTCGTCTTCTAGGACCCAGAGTAGGGGTTTAGGGTTTAGGGTGAAGGGTTCAGGGTTTAGGGTTTAGGCCTTTTTTACTTGTTTGGGGGTTTAGGTTCCATTCTAAGCCCCATTAAAACCAAAAAGGGTGCCCTCTTATTCCGAGGTTGTGCACGGGTCACCCTAAACCCTTAAACCCTAAACCCTACGACCTAAACCCTAAACCCTAAACCCTAAACCCTTTTCGTTTGTCCTAGGTTGCTCTTGGGTGTAGCTTTTAGCCGGGTTACCAGGACATCCGCTCGACTTTCCTGGCCGGCATGGATGACAGCGAGGCGGAGTTCTAGGGCTTTGGGGTTTAGGGTTTAGGGTTGTTTAGGGTTTAGGGTTTAGGGTTTAGGGTTTAGGGTTTAGGGTTTAGGGTTTAGGGTTTTAGGGTTCTAGGGTTCTAGGGTTCTAGGGTTCTAGGGTTCTAGGGTTCTAGGGTTTAGGGTTACCCTTTGGGATGTACCCCCTCACATTAGCCGTCCTTAGAAGGGATTACAATGGTGGGGGGGGGGGGGGATACTGTAATCCCTATCAAGGACTCCCTAAACCCTAAACCCTAAACCCTAAACCCTAAACCCTAAACCCTAAACCCTAAACCCTAAACCCCCTTCATCCCAAATTTCCCCCCCCCCCCCCCATCCCCATTACCTTGCAATCCATGGCTTGCTGGGGGAGCGCAATACCCTAAGACCCAAACCAAGCCCTGAACCCTAACACCCTAACACCCTACACCCCTCAACCCCCAAACCCCCTAAACCCCCTAAACCCTGAACCCCTAAACCTAGCAATCCTGGAAGTGTCGGCCCAGCTCGCCAGGGGTTCGAAAGCGAAGCTGGAGGTCCAGCAGAACTATTTTCATGGCTTAGGGTGTGAGGGTTTCACGGTTCCAGGGTTTCATGGTTTCAGGGTCTGAGGGTCTGAGGGTTTCAGGGTCTGGGTGTCTGAGGGTTTTAAACCCTAAGCCCTAAGCCCTAAACCCTAAACCCTACACCCTAAACCCCAAACCCTAAACCCTAAACCCTGTCCGAGTCTAGGTTCAAAAAGGGGTTTGTGCGTGTGTTCGGGCTCTCAGGGTTTCGGAGGAGAGAGCTTCAGCGTGCAGGGGTCTAGACTTTAGGCTACGTGTCGGCATGTCGAGGGCCTGGGGTTTAGGGTTTAGGGTTTAGGGTTTAGGGTTTAGCGTTTAGCGTTTAGCTTTTAGGATACTGGGTTTAGGGTTTGGGGCATAGGGTTTCGGGTTGGTTTAGGGTTTAGGGTGTAGGGGCCCTTGACTTGCTTTTTTGGTAACAGCCCCTCTTTGTGCCCAGCTGCTGTGTGCCGGTATAGGGCGTTACAGGGTTCAGGCGTGCAACAGCGGATCCGACAAGTGCTTGAGCATCCATCCATCTCCTGCATCTTGCAGAGGGTGCTAAACCCTAAACCCTAAACCCTAAACCCTAAACCCTAAACCCTAAACCCTAAACCCTAAACCCTAAACCCTAAACCCTTTTCGGACAGGTGAGGGCAACGTGAGTCCAGGTCGTACCCTGCGAAGCACTTTGCGTTCAGGCCGCGAAGGGGCAAAGAGTTTGCGTCTCTGAAGACTAAATGCTAGAGCCCTACCTGAAGGTTCCAAAGCCGTTCTATATAAGGCGCCCATGCCTTTGTTAGGGAGTTATAGGTTGCCGTCTACATGCTCTTGTAGATCGACAGCTGACAAGGGATTGCACGAGAGTCTTAAGCAAAGCGCGCTATGATGATGATGATGATGATGATGATGATGATGATGAGGATGATGATGATGATGGTGATGATGATGATGAGAATGATGATGATGATGATGATGAGGAGGACGACGACGACGAAGACGACGACGACGACGACGATGATGATGATGATGATGATGATGATGATGATGATGATGGTGATGGCGACGACCTCCACGTGCACCCACAGGTGCTGCTGGTTTTGCCGCAATTCCCAGGGCCAGAAGCCCTACATGGAGAAACCTTAGTACCCTTGAACAAAAAGGAAGCTTACCTTAGTTTTTCGAAGGTACAACCAGGCAGAACAAAGACGAGGAGTGGTAGAGCGGGCAGGTCCTGTAAAGCTTGAAGTTCCTAGCCTCAAACCCTGCTCAGCCCTAAAGAGTAGCTCTGAGCCTTGAGCCCTGAGCCCTCAACCCTAAACCCTAAACCCTAAGCCCTAAACCCTAAACCCTAAACCCTAAACCCTAAACCCTAAACCCTAACCCTAAACCCTAAACCCTAAACCCTAAACCCTAAACCCTAAGCCCTAAGCCCTACGCCCTAAACCAGACCAAGCCCGAAAGCCCTAGATCCCTTCGAAAGACAAAGAGAATCAACTGGCCCAGGCTCGCGGAGTGGGGCTCTCTGAGTTGAAGCCAAGGTTTAGGGTTTAGGGTTTAGGGTTTAGGGTTTAGGGTTTAGGGTTTAGGGTTTAGGGTTTAGGGTTTAGGGTTTAGGGTTTAGGGTTTAGGGTTTAGGGCTAGGGTCTAGGGTTCAGGGTTCAGGGTTCAGGGTCAGGGTTCAGGGTTTAGGGCTCACTTGGAGGTTCGTTGGTGGTCATAGGTGGGGTTAGGACTAGGAGCACCGAAGCTGTCTCTCGTTACAACCTTCTCTGAGGGTACTTCAAGTGCATAGGGGTCTTTGGCTTGTGGGTTTTCGGGGTTGGGGGTTGGGGGGGGGGGGGG